AAACAGTGCCTTTTATATCGGTGAGTTATTTTGATGGAATGGCCCATGTCCGATATTTAACGTTATCGCTAATATCGGCCATACCGATAATATCGTGCATCCTTACTTGTTATTCTTACACAAGATATCCAATAAAAAATGTAGTATTTTGATTTTTGACACAACTACCCAGTTCTGTTACTGATCATTTATTTAAAATAGGGTCAAGTTTAATGTATACCAAGTCAATGTCTATTTATGTATCACATTAAAAGCCTAGCATTGCTTGAAGGGATGCATGTCGCCCACTCTGCCTTTCAACTGCTAACACACTAAACTTATCGCTTCTTATTTGTAAAATGTATTGAGTTATAGCCATTTTTGTGATCGTTAAGGTCACTTAGCTGTGGTGGCCATCTTCAATGGGGTTGACTCCTAAAGTTGGTGTTTATTTAATGATTACTTTCTGCAGTTTTACGTTCACATCTGTCCAGTGGTTCATGAGATATTTTGCAAGTGACTGGAAGATCAGTTATTGGCCTTTCACCTTTTGTGGCATGTAAAAAGAACTTCTATTTCTGCAATCCTAAGCGGTCTTATTTAGCAGGCGTAATATAAAACGAAGTCCAGGCTCTGGATAATTTGTCTCGTTCACGTTTCTCTCCTTCTGCAGGGCAAACAAACCTGCTTACATTGTCTTGTGTATGCAACACGGTCGCGGCGTTCAATAATAGACAAGAAACTGGGGAGACGCATCCACTTGTTGATGCTTTGGTTACCACGCAAGACAATACATGTGGTGACGGTTAAAGGCAGTGAAAGTGGAGGGGGGTGTGTTGGGTTGCTGGTAATGTGAAGGAGATGAGGTGAAAAAGGAGAGGCGCTCACTCTTATGCAACTCCAGATGGAGGGAAAGGGTTTTTTTAAAGAGGCGGGCTGAACAAGAGCTGGTGCTTCCATGCAAAGAGCAAAACACGAGATGATAAAACGGACAAACTCGTCTGTAACATCCAAATACACTTGGTCAAAAACACAGTTTATAGTGACGGAAAGTGTATTTTCAGTAAAAAGTCAGTGTAATATGAATGATGTTGCTAACAAGGCTGAAAATGAATTGTGAAAACTAAGCAAGTACACTAGCTAAAAGCTAAAGGGAGAAAAAAATGTTAGCTAAAAAGCTAAAAGAGCAGAATGCTAACTAAGGAGCAAAAAGAAGCAAAATGCTAGCTAAAAAGCTAAAAGTAGCAAACGTTAAAAAAAATTAAAGGTATTTAAAGGTTAGCTAAAAGCAAGAAGGATTAAATGTTTAGCTAAAAGGAGCAAAAGGATAGCTAGTAGCAAATGGCAACAGAAGGCTGCTAAAACTAAAAGTATCTAAAAAGTTAGCTAAAAATATTAAAATGCCACTTTCTGGTGTTTCCCGACTCCGTGGTTGTTGTTTGATAAAAGTAGCAAATAGTTGGCTAAAAGTTAAAAGTACAGCTAAAAATGTCAAAAGACTGGCTAAAAGCCAAATGAAGAAAAAGGCTAATTTAAAGTATCTAAAGGCTAGCTAAAAGCTAAAAGTAGCAAACAGCTAAAAGCATCAAAAGGCTAGTTACAAGTATCAAAAGTTTAGCTAAATGTATCAAAAAGCCCATTTTAGGGGGTTTCTCGTCTTCTCAGCCGTTGTCTGATAAAAGCAAGAAAATGCTGGCTAAAAGCTAAAAATAGCTAAAGGCTAGCTACAAATTAAATATAACAAAAGGGTGGTGAAAAGTTAAAAGTGTGAAGAAAACGATCACATAAATGCTGCGTTCACATAAACATCTATAACTGAAACGACTTTACGATCACTGAAGCTTTTGCTCATATGAGCTGAAATCTGAGACGCATCGAAATAAATCAATTATTACAGAAGTCACACAAATGACTTTTGTAAAGACAGCAATATATTATGTATTGGGTATAGTTTGGCAGCATCTCATTGCATCTTATTCTCTTGCATATTCGCATACGAAGTTTATTCCCCCCATTTTTTCTTAGGATGAAGAGGAAGTTTTATTCCTGGGAAGAATGCATGAACCTCAGAGAAGTGAAGGTATGGATGGTGTTATTATTGTTCCCACAGTATTCAGCATCAGTGAAAGCAATTAAATGAAAATACGGTGATTTGCATCTTCTACAGTGGCGCTTAACAGCTTTCAGGAGGTATAGATGACCAAGATTAACCATCTGAAGACCCCGTATATGGAAACTTAACCATTCAAACCATTTTGAAACGTCTCTCTCTAAAACTGGCAGTAAATGAATCTTCGTTGTGACACGTTTTTCACGTCATCTTTCCCTGCAGTCACTCAAGAAGTTAAACCATGCAAATGTGGTGAAGCTGAAGGAGGTTATCAGGGAGAACGATCACCTCTACTTTGTTTTCGAATACATGAAAGAGAACTTGTACCAGCTGATGAAGGACAGGTGAGGAGAGAGACAAACAAAACCGTTTAGCGGTGCTCTCATATCTGAACGCTCGTGTGCTAAATTCAAATCTAGACATGTGTTCGTGCTGTCAAGTGTTTGTCACGTGTTTTAAATGACCCGATAGAGTGGTTTCCAGTAGCATGCTCAGTATTTCCAGGAGTTTCCACCGCCCGTTGCATTTAGAAACCAGCTGCTACCAGACCTACGGTCTCCGAGGAGATCTTGATGCTTTCGCTGGTTTGGAAACTCCCAAACATGTTTATCTCTGTTGAGAGCGAAACGTAGACGAGCGTTCGCGCTGCCCGTGTGTTAAAACCGTCCAGATAAGGAAACGTACGAGCATCCTGTCTTTGTCCTTATCACTCTGTTAGAATGCTCTTAAGAATTATATATTGGTTTTTATATTCACAGAAAAAAATTGATTCCCGAGTCAGTGATAAGAAACATAAGCTTTCAGATTTTGCAAGGCCTGTCGTTTATTCACAAACATGGTAGGTGCACCGTGTTGCAGTCACGCTTCCAGATCTATGCGAGGGTTTCCATCCTGCAAGATTCACACAAACGGCTAAACATTTTATTTATTTAAGACCTCAGTGGAGCTGCGGAACATTTTATTGCATTTAAGAACTTTAAACATTTGTTTATGTTGAATTATCAGAGTCTTGTAGCATGCGAACCCTCCATGCACGCTTTGATAAAACACTCTTCTGCTCTTTTTTTCTGTTATAACTGGATGTGTGGATGCCTGTATCTTTACAAGTAAAACATTTATTTTAAATGCTTTTATTTAGACGTTTCATCAGAAGCTTTACAAAAGAAAAACTGCTTGGCTAAATGCAGATTGTTTAAATGCAAACATGTTCATTATATGCATCATCTCATCCAAAATGCATGCACTACCTTCTTTTTTCCAACTTAAATCTTTAATTTCTCTTTTATCTTTCCTTGTTTTAATTCCTTGGTTTGCTGTTAGAGAGAATAAGATGTTCACAGAGAATGAAATTAGGAACATCATGTTTCAAGTGCTGTCTGGGTTGGCTTTTGTACATAAGCATGGTAAGAGGCTCTATTTTGCATTTTTTTTTTATCTTTTTCCAAAAATGCAATATCCTTTAGCTTCTTAGTTTGGATATTAATAAATAATCCTGTCATTGTGACCCCTGCGTAGCATTGCAAATATGACTGTGTAGCTACTTGTGTCTTAGATATGTTAGAGATCTTACCTACAATATATATTTTTGTTTCTTCAAAGAATTAGAGCTCTTTTTCAATATCAGCTCAATTGTGCAAATATAACGTTTTTCTGCATCAAATCACCCGTTGAATTTCCATTTCTCTGATATTTAGATTTTTTTTAATTATTATTGTATCTATCATATAGCTTTTTTTAAAAAATCTACAAACATTGCGTGATAGCAAAATCTTTTTTTTAATAATGAAATCTGGATAGTCAGTTTTTATATTATAAAATTATTATTCTTTGAAATTCCAGATTTTGCTACTCTGAAGTGCATTAGAAGCCTTTGTCCTTGAATAAATACAACAGTAATGTGAAATGTAGTACACATGTTGAATATAACCTTTTTAATATTAATTATACTTCAATGCTTTTGCGATAATGTCCTTAACAGAAAATTAAACTTAACCTTCCAGTTTCCCTTGGGTCAAAATGATCCACAAGGCCTCAGCTTTAAAACTTAGGCCTTTTTTAAACCCAAGGGCAGCAGGAGGGTGATCTTAAGTATGGTTGTTATGAAGTAAAAGTGTCTACCCCACAAAAAAATTTAAATCTATGGATGATAGGTCTTCCTTTATTGCCCTATTTGCCCCTCACATTGTTGAAAATGTAATTTTTATTCCATCTATCATTTAGCTCATGTGTAAAATGCAGCAGAATCATAGAAAATATAAACTGACTTTTTTTTTTTATGTTGTCAGAACAGTTTTCAGTCAAACTGCAACATTGATGTCAGTCATTTAAAATGTTTTTCAAGATAATGTTGCTGAGAGGACATGATGTTTTAATGTTTTAGGTTTCTTCCATCGCGACATGAAGCCAGAGAACCTTTTGTGCATGGGTCCAGAACTGGTCAAAATAGCAGATTTTGGACTGGCCAGAGAGATCCGCTCCAAACCTCCCTACACAGATTACGTATCAACCAGATGGTAAGAAGATTTTCTTTACTTTGTGCTCATCAATATTATAAATGTAGAACAGAGACAATCAAAAAAAGTTTCTCCTTTATCCTAAACTATTTTCAACTTTCTTTGTGCTCAGTTTTTATTGTGCCTCTTTGTGTTTTCTAGCAATCGTCAGCACCGTCCTTGCTGCCGTATAAGTCGCATCAGCCTAAATATGTCTAACAAAGTGGAAAAAACATAAATACGTCGCTTTGCCGTATAAGTCGCATCTATTATGCGTCACCGTTGACAACCCGGAAATGTGGGCCGGTGCCAAAAATCGATTGGCTGCCAAATGGTGGCCGCGGGAGAACCCTAACAAGAGTTGAACAAGATTAACACTTAAAAACAATTATTTAATTGCTCGACGTTATAGCAAAGGTGTGTCTCAGTTTAACTTTTGCTTAATAAATGCACTTTAATGGACAAATCAGCTGCATTTCGCCTGAGCGGCGCGGCGAAATGCAGCTGATTCGACGTTTTCTGCAGGAGTTCCAGAGCGAGACGAAGGTGGCTCTGTATGGCAAGCCAAATGTCTCATTATTAACCACTTTTTACCTATTAACGAGACACTTGGCTTGCCATATTAGTCGAGAGCCCTCTAGTGGCTGAAAATGGTAGTGTTCAATATTTTCCATGCCAGAATGAATGAAATTGTTAGATCTCAGCCAAAAATTGGTTTATAAATATGGGGGAAAAAACAAATATGTCGCTTTGCTGTATAAGTCGCAGGCATGCTAATTTATGCACAAACTGTGACTTATACTGTGAAAAATACGGCACTTTTCCGTAGTCTGACTTCACTCTCTGGTTCTGTCCCTCCCACGTACACCTGTTCACTGTTGTCATTAAGCCAAATGTCTCCACTCACCTCATCAGCCCCAGCCCATCTGCAGTCTGGCCTTGTGCTTCATGCCTCGTTTGGTTCTCCTCCATGTCTTTTGTAGTCTTGTTGTGTCTTTTTGCTGCCTCTACAGCCTCTTGTTTAGTCAGTCAAGTCTTACTCGAGCCTCTGATGTTTGATCTGCAGTTTTGTGTCAATTTCTGCAGAACACCATGACACTGTCGTGGAGTGACAGACAGGATAGACGGGAAAAAAGTGGGAAATGCAAATGTAGAATAGATGCTTAAATCGTATATTGTTCTGCTTCATCTAGGTACCGAGCCCCTGAGGTCCTGCTTAGGTCGTCTACCTACAGCTCTCCTATTGACCTGTGGGCTGTCGGCTGCATCATGGCTGAACTCTACACACTCAGACCTCTTTTTCCTGGAAATAGTGAAGTGGACGAGATCTTTAAGATTTGCCAAGTCCTGGGCACAATGAAAAAGGTGAGAGGAACGAGGTGGAGGAGCTGGACTCTGTTATTCCTCCATGTTAAAAAAATATGTAAAGATATCTAGAATTCTAGAACTGGATGGGAATATAAAAGTAACAGCAGTCAAGGATGTTCTGCACACAGCAGAATATTTAGTGAGGTGAAGGTGTCAAGGCCAAAGGCTTAAACATTCAACTAAAAGACTGTGGTTCACCTGTTTCCTCCCACAGACCAAAAACATGCATGTTAGGCTGATTGGTAACTCTAAAATTGTCCTTAGGTGTGAGTGAAAGAGTGAATGGTTGTTTGTCTCGTTTGTCTCTATGTGGCCCTGTGATGGACTGGAGACCCGTCCAGGGTGTGTCCCGCCCCTCACACAGTGATTGCTGGACATGGGCACCAGCGACCCCCGTGACCCAAAATGGAATAAGCGGGTAAAGAAAATGGATGGATGGATGGATGGATATATCGATATTGATATATATATATATATATATATATATAGATAGATGGATATTAATACATAAATGGATATATATGGATGGAATGATGGATGGATATTGATACATAAATGGATATATATGGATGGATACATCAATATTGATATGTGGATGGATGGATACATTGATATTGATACATGGATGATATAGATGATGGATGTATCAATATTGATATACAGATGGATGGATACATTTATATTGATACATGGATGATATAGATGGATATATCGATATTGACACAGTGGGGATATGGATGGATGGATGGATGGATGGATGGATGGATGGATGGATATATGGGTGGATATTTAGGCTACACTAAAAACATTTCCTTTGTACTTGCATCCTAAATGACTGCTCTAAAAAGTAACAAATTGGTTAATTTCTATTTGTTTTGGGGTTTATAGTTATATTGCATATCAGTAATATCTCTTTTTATAAAAATTTGGTTTGACCAGTGATCAGATGTTACCGTCTCTAAATTTCAGACCGATTGGCCAGAGGGTTACTATCTAGCATCTGCTATGAACTTTCGTTTCCCCCAATGTGTGCCCACCCACCTGAAGACCCTTATCCCAAACGCCAGCAAGGAAGCTATTACACTGATGAAAGACCTCCTGCAGTGGGACCCCAAAAAAAGACCCACAGCTATACAGGTAAGCAAATGGTTCTGTGAGACCCGGCAAATTTGTACGGACATAAAATGAAAGCATTTTGTTTTCATTCTTCTCCATGGATAGGCCCTGCGTTACCCTTACTTCCAGGTAGGACAAGTCCTGGGGCCTCGTCCTCAGAGCCAAGAAGTCAAAAAGGTCCAGACCAGGCCGTTGGTTCAGAAGCAACTATCTGGGTCAAAGACAGAACCCCTTCAGTCTTCCTCTGAGTCCAAAGCTTCCACATGCTCCTCAAGGACCCATCAGGAGCATCAGCCTCTTCAGCAGATCCCCCTGCCTCAGGTGGACAGCAACTCAGGAGGTCCCAGCCATGCAGTGAGTGGCTTTATCAAATCACAGATTAATGTTTCAAAATGTTGAAATTAAAAAAGAAAATGAAAGGAAGTCTCCACTGCCAGGTAAACATTATTTAGAACCTTCGTTAGCCTAAAACCGACGGTGTTCTGCAGAAGGTGGCGTCACTGGGCAGTGAAAACAGTGTGGGGGGTGTCGGGATGGGCTTCCTGAAGAACGGCCGCCGTCGCTGGGGACAGGCAGTTGCCAAGACGTCAGACAGCTGGGAGGAATCTGACCAGTCAGAAACCGCTGCCTCCAACTCCAAGAAGCCCAGTCTGGGGAGTGCAGATGACGGGAGCCCTAAAGAGCACTGCCCACAGTGAGTGCTGCGACATTTATGACGTCTTTATTTAAACATATTCAATAAATACTTGCTTACATTAGCTCTTAAATTCAAGACAGTGTTGTACGTTAGGGCTGCGCAATTACAGAAACAATTATATTCATGATTATTTAAAACTAATATTCCTTAAATTAGGAGGCATAGCATTATTACGATTAAAGAACAAAGATGAAGATGAAGTTTTCTTTCATACCTTCCTGGTCAACATTTTCCTTAAGTAACTGATAAAGTCTTAACATGTAGGCTACTAGATAATATAAACACAAATAAATAAAAATCAATTTAGTGCACTTCCACTGTATTGTAGGGCCCTATGGAATCATTCCCATCCAAAAAGCTAATTTTTTTAATTGTTTTTTTAATTCTATGGCTTAAATTGAAAACGATGTAACACTTAACTTGGATTATGTTTAATGTCAAATTTATTCATGACATTTACTCTCTCTAACACAACGACAACGCTCGAACAGTGCAAATCTGTAAATATTCACAAATCTAAACTCAACCTGTTCACAAGCCACAAGAGAAAAGTGCATAAGTCTTAGTGCATTAATAGATAAACTTGAGTTTCTTTAATTAAAAATGAACTTAAAACAGAAGCCCAATACCTGGTTATACAATCTTAACGATCAACTCAAATCTCTGTGAATTCTATGTGCAAATAAAATCAAAAGTGTAAAAAATATTGTCGTCTTCTTTCCTTCGTCAGAGCGTTTCTCTCTTATTTAAGTTTATTTGCTACAAATGTTTATTTGTTACGCTTTTACAAATTTCACCGTTTGGTCCCCGTCGACCATTTACCAATTACAAATGGAAATGTTCTCTCAAATTGTTGTTGTTTACACGTGGATCGTTTTCTTTTAAGCTCTGTGTTAAACGTCAGAGCGTCTAAATATTCGCAGCAGATCGTCTCACAGCAGGCGCCGGAGTTACGCCTCATTAAAGAGGCAAGGCACGACGAGGGCACGCTCACAAAGCAAAACTAAAATAGCAAAACATTTCTGAAAATAATCGTTTTTTTTCTCGGTTGTACTGTTTTTGTGAGCGGTTGGAGCTAAAATTAAAACTACAAAATTTGATTCTAGCCCCGCAACACGTTTTATTTGTTTGGATTTTATTTTTTTCAGGCCCACGGAACAAAAACCTCTGTATTCATTCAGCACAGTTACCAAACTACCCAACAATGTTAAAGTTGCACAAATGGATCCCAACCTCCCTGGATCTGCAGCGCGGCAGCACTATCTCAGCCAGTCACGCTACCTGCCTGGTAAGACAAACATGCCGCTTCACACACCGGGTTACTCCCCTGGAAATACTTTTGATTTCTGTACGCGTTAGCTCCGCTTTAACTCACATTGTATTTGCTGCTTTAAGGGTTGATTGGCAAGGGTCAAGCTTCCTCTGGGGATAAGGAGTTGGGGGGAATGTCGCTGCGGGAACTGTGGGAGAACTCCTCAAACCCAGTAAACAAACCGCTCGCTTCCATTGGAAAATTATCCGTCACCAGAGCCAACGCAGGTAACGACTGCTAAAGTCTGACGTCTTTAATCAGTGGTGCCTATTTTTGGTCCACGAGGGCCACCATCCTGCATGTTTTAGTTGTTTCCCTGCTCTTCAAGTTCTGTTAGAAACATCTAAAACCTGCAGGATGGTGGTCCTTGAGGACCAGGACTGGACACCACTGTCTTAAATGTTTTTCTTATGCAATGGAAAGAACTAAAGTTTCCTGATTCCACTAAGAAGCTCGTGAAAGTCTACAAGTGTTCCAGCAGTTTCTATGGTTTATCTGACAGAGCGGTTTCAGAAGAGAATAAAAATGCAAACCGCTTACCGAGTTGCAATTAGTTCAAATGTTTGGGCAGGATTTTTTTAAGCAGCACAGACGCAAACTTTTTACCTTTTTCTATCCTTTAACACAACTTGTGCAAATATCATTACTAAAAATAGAGAAATTAAATAAGTAACCTTTGTTTTATAGGAATAAAATAAATTACCAACGAAGTCCATGCTCAATAATCCAGGTATACAATCCAACATTTTTCAATCAGGTCATCTGGACAGTTTCTTCTAGAAATTAAAAATAAATTACCGTATTTTTTGACCTATAAGTTGCGTTTTTTTGCGGCTTATTCGCTGAAGCCACTTATTTATGTAGTTTATTATTATTTGTTACTTAGTTATTTATTTAACCAATTTTTGTCTGAGATATGACTGTTTTCATTCATTCTGACTGAAATTTTTGAACACTACCATTTTCAGCCGCTAGATGGCACTCGAGCAGTATGGCATGCCGTTGTGCCATGTAATAAGTAAAAGTGGCTATTAATGACAATAGAAATGCAGCTAATTTGACCAATGAAGTGCATTTATTAAGTAAAAGTTAAAATGAGACACACCTTTACTATAATGTCGAGCAAACAAATAATTGTTTTAGGTGGTTATCTTGTTCAATTTTGAAGAAATGCACAGCGAGTCATCCTACACGCGTCTACTTCTGCGTGTTTTTAAAAAAAAAAAAGTTTTTAAGTGGTAATCTTGTTAAAGTCCTCCCGTTCACGCTCCCGCGGTCGCCATTTGGCAGCCAGTCGATTCTTGGCACAACACCGGTCCACATTTCCGGGTGGTCAGCGGTGACGCATAACAGATGCGACATATACGGCGAAGCGACTTATTTATGGATTTTTCCACTTTATTAGACATTTTTGGACAGATGCGACTTATAGGGCGGTGCGATGTGTACGGCAAAAAATACAGTAATGACATTTATTCTAAGCCTCCCATTTTATGTGACCTAATACTCATATTTTTGAACGTTGACTGGCCACTTTAGTTCTTTGAGCAATAATTATGGCTTTTTGGACAAAATGTGATGTGAGCTTAACAATCAGCAGCTTTAGAGACATGAGATGGTTATAAATCTCTAGGCAGACAGTCTCTTTCTTTCCCTTTCATAAAGTATTCATGGGATAGAAAGATAAAAAGGTCCTTAAATGGACACCAACATGCCCACTTCCACCTCATGAATTTCACCATCTTATATTCTTCATTTCTGTCCTGATGTTTAATCCCCCCCCACCCTTATTTCTCTGTTTTCCATCTTCTCTTGCTGCTTCAACTGCACTTTTCGGCCGTGTGATTAGACGAGAACGCCTCGCAGTCAGAGGGTAGCACACCTGAGAAAAGTGTTGTCAAAGAAAGAATGCTGGAGAAAATCGATCTGTCCAAAGGTATTTGAATAAGATGGGATCTTTTGTTCCCACAGCAGTTTGAAGATAAAAACAACATACCTGTAGTTCGTTCAATAGCTTACGGTGAAGTTATTCCATCGGTTTGGTGGTTAACGCAACAGGTTTTCGATATTCTGATTTTAAAATTCAACAAATGCCCAAATACACAGTTAACCTGAAAAGGTTCTCAAACTGAAAAGCAAGGCTTCTGCACTTCAACCACGTCTTCATATAGGAAATAAAAAACACCGACAACCATTTTAGTGATTTCCACGTTATATCTTTGTGGCGTTTCATTAAAAAAACGTGAATCACGCCGATAATTTCATGTTTGTGTCTCCTGCACATCACGCGAGTTTAATTCTTCAGGTCTTTTTGCTCCACACGGTTTCGCATGATGCGAATTCGTCGAGATTTTATTAACCTCAACTCGTTTTTCTTATTTTAAAGGAAACTTTGTCAACATCAAATACAACCTCTCCGGTGGTTACATCCCTTCTTTCCAGAAGAAGGAGATTGGCACGGTGGGACAGAGAATACACCTGGCCCCCTTGTCAGGCCAACACACAAGTAAGGACTGTTTTTATATTCATTGGTTTTTTTAAGTATTAGCTCTGAGAGAAAACTTTCCACGTATTTGCTGCTCCTCATAAGCTGAACTGTTCTATTTGCTCAAGCTGTTCTGTTTTCTTCACCGATCTCGTAATTTTAGACGATATCTGTCAAAACTCGTAAATTCCAACTTTTATTTCCTTTTCAGTTGCACCTTCCTCCTCCTCCTCTTCTCCTGATAATAAAAAAGTCGAGACAAAAGCCACAAAACTCAAGCCCATTTCCAGCTCAACACTGAGTGAAACTAACGAAGGTACTTTAAGATCAGAAGACAAGGCAGCTATAATGTTTTTGCAGGTGTCTTAATTATTAGCAAAGTATCTCACGAGTCAGTGAACAGATCGCAGAAAGTAATGTCCATTTAAAACCGAGTCGCACCAGTTGAAGGTGTCCACCTCAGCTAATCGACATTAGCAAACACAAACATGGGTGTAACTCCGTTTTATAGATGTCGAGCTAAAGTTTGGTGTGGTAGTGGCTAAGAGTTCGTCCCAACACATTAAGTGCTACGCATCTTAAACCAGCTCATGAACGACTGGGAGAGTTTGAGTGAAGCTCTCAGAAAGTACTACGAGTACTTTTACAACCCATTAACGTGAGGTGAACCCTATTTAAGACGGGCCACCAGTTCATCCACACGAGCCAGCACAAGACGTCAGTGAATTTTAGATAAGAGCTAAAATGTTGGCGCGGTAATAGCTGAGCATCCTCGACACATACTCTAAGTCTTAACCAAAACAGCTTCTACTCACAACGAAGGCCAACCACGTCTGCTTCAAGCACTTGCTCGACAGTCCATCGTTTGTATTTTTACAGGACGCACTAATATTTTCTCTCGTTTCAGACTACGAGGGCTGGAGAAGGCAGACGAACAGGACCCAAGTGAAGGAGAGCAGTTATTCGGCGTTGGGGAAAACCTCCGGGAACCTCCTGAGCAGAGCGCCCGCTGTGCAGCCGGTGCACGGCAGGGTGGACTGGACATCCAAGTACGGTGGAAACCGATGAACGAGTAAACAGAACTTTCTATACGATGAACACGTCTTTTACTCAAGAAATACTGAGCAGTTTCGCCATTTCGCTAAAGAAAATGTTTATTTATTGCATTAATATTTGGTAAACAGATGTTTTCCATAGTTGCGTTTGTTTTGCCAACATTATCCCAACGTATGGTCCAATTCCCCTATAGTGCTTGCATTGTTCAAGTTGAATTTATATGTAGCAAAGTGATTTGCTTTTATTATTCTTTTTTTTCATAAAGCATTGTTTTACTTCTCACGACAAAATGTTTGTTTTAGGTGACATCCGTTTTGACCGACTGTCCTTGCATTGTAAAAAAAAACTACAGCGGTCTTTGTATTATACAATAAAAATGGAAGATTTTGTAATAATTTTGTACAAATACACAAAAGTTCAAAGTGTGTTTATTTAAAAATGACAGGACTGTCGAGGTACAAACAGTACGTGTTCTCATCGAACTGCGATCTCTTTGGAACAAGACAGCAGTGCATGAGAAATGTTGACGCAGCTCGAAAACAAGAAATCCTTCGTAAACGTGTTCAGTTGTTTAGTTTTCCAGCACGTCCACCTCACGAGGACTCTGCAGGTTTCTGGAGCAGTGTCACACTAAGTTTCCCCATCATCAGAAGACTGGAACGAAAAGAAGATTTTTTCTAATTATACTTTTATATTTCTGTTTTATAACCCCCAAAAGTCCATTTAATGTAAATAAAGAACTAAAAAGCTGATTTAGCATTACACCCAAACATCCTTTATCAAGTTTATTTAATATGGATTTGATAGGAAACAAACCTTGCTGCTGCCATCAGACCAGCTGGCATGAACTTCCTCGATGCGTAGAACCTCTTTCCCATGAGTCCAGCAAGAGCTCCTGATGTTCCTGACATGTCCAACATGGACGTTAGTGAAGAGTTAAAAAATTAATTAACTTCTTAAGAAGAAACTCTAGAAATGCATAATTCAACCTTATATATACAGAGTCGCATCAAAAGACTATGTACCTGGTAAACACCACGTACAGTACGTACTGGATAAGAAGCAGGTACGTACCCTGTTTGTACCCGCTAAATAAGTTTTGTACCTACAAAGTACCAGGTTTGCACCTGCTGAATTCTGCATCCATACAGAGTAACAAACAGGTAAATACGAGGTAGGTACTAGTTACGTACACAGTAACTACCCAGTAGATATGCAGAAAGTACCAGGTATATACCATCTGCATACACTGTTAGAACCAGGTATGTACTCTGTACACCAGGTACAGTACATATATGATAAATCACTAGTATGTACCTGATAACTACCAGGCAAATACACAGGATTACACCAGAAATATACCTGATATGGATCTGATAAATGCGAGGCAAATACCAGGTAAGCACCTGTTATGTAACCATAAAGTACTGGGTAAGTATTGCCGAGTAACAATCAGGTGAATATGTGATAAATACCAGGTAGATACTAGTTCCATACCCAGTAATTACCAAGTAGATACCCAGAAAGTACCAGGTATGTACCATCTGCATACCCAGGTTTATACCAGAAACATACATGGAAAGTACCTGGTATGGATCTGGTAAATACAAGGTAAGTACCAGGTAAATGACCCCAAAATACCAGGTAAGTACCTGGTAAATACCAGGTAAGCACCTGTTATGTAACCGTAAAATACCAGGTAAGTATTGCAGAGTAACAATCAGATAAATATGTGGCAAATACCAGGTAGATACTAGTTACATACCCAGTAACTAACAAGTAGATACTCAGAAAGTACCAGGTATGTACCATCTGTGTACCCTGTTAGAAACAGGTATGTAGTCTGTATATACCAGGTACACTATGTATATGGTAAATACTAGGTACATACCCTGTATGTACCTGATAAATACCAGGTAAGAACTCTGTATGTACTTAGTAAATACCCCGATTTATATCAGAAATATACCTGGAAAGTACCTGGTATGGACCTGGTAAATACAAAGCAAGTACCAGGTAAGTAAGTAACCCTAAAGTACCCAGTAAGTACTTGATAAATACCAGGTAAGCACCTGGTATGTAACCATTAAATATGGGGTAAGTACTGGATATAGACAAGGCTGTATTATGTATTACTACCAAAAACTCTTTACCAATACTCTGGAGACATTTGCAGACAAATTTATTCAAACAAACTGTGTGGCAGGCTTTAAACACCAGATTCTTTGGTTTATTTATTATAACTTTGGGAGGAATAATCATAATTTGTTAATATCATTGTTTTTAACAGTTGTCTCCAAGGCTACAGTACTAAAGACGATAAATCTGGGTTGCAAGGCGTCAAGTCAACTAAAGCTCGGCAGAAAAAGTTTTCCTCATTTTCCGACGCCATCTTTAATTACAGTGTAAATTAAAAACATTTTACCAACCTAGTGACACCCACACATTCTTGGGGTCATTGGAAATCTGGTAGGCGCCAAAACCAGCAAGCCCTCCAAAGAGAAGCCCAGCAGCCAGTGAGGGAACGCTGCCTGAGTGTGACGGCGAGAAAAACACAAATGAGGTCAACACCAAACAACGAAGACAGAAAAACATGGACAATATTAGAACAACCGCTATAATTTTTACGACACTGCTTGAGCATTTTGAGCAGCACAACTAAAAGTCATCATATTTACACCAAAATGAATTGTGCAGGGGATAAATTGGTTTTATTTTTGTTGACAGTAACTCGAAATGATGACAAATATAAGCACGAAAGTTGTGGTTATTCGTTAGGCTCGGACAAATACGATCAAATACACAACTTCATCAAACAATGCTGTTCGTGTAAAACGTTGCTCCGGAGGGCAGTTGTATATTTTATTTACATAAATCTCTTTGAAGTAAAATAAGATTTACTGAAAAAGATACTTGTAGGCTCTCTGAGATGTAAGTAGCTGTAACAGAACTATATCGATCTTTGACAATCTGAGATTAAACAGAATCCACCTGGATCTGCCTCGTCCCTGGAATATTCTACTCGATTTAAACGGTTACAAATCGACAAGCTTCACGTCTTCTTTATCTCTTTGCAACGACAATCTTAATCTAACAGCCGTACCGCTGCTTTGCATTAAACTGTTACTGGTATATGTGCAAGTAAAACGCCAAATGAGATTAATTTTAAAACCATACGACAACAGAGAGAGAAATATATATAACCAGCATGTTTGGATAAACAATTTTTCTGTATAAAAAAATAAAATATACATAACTCTATTAAAAAAAACAGTATTTTGAACAAGTTAAACACTTATCAGTGTGTAAAAAACATGTAAAAAAAAAAAGTAAATTAAAAGTGAGATTAGGAAAAGCACAACAGTGAGGGTTAATGAATTTTAAATTTAACTTTTTGCATGAAAAAAATCATTAGTAAAAACAGATTTTGATGCAGGACTAATATAAAAAAAGAGGCATAATTAAGAGACTTTCTGCTAAATTATTCTTATGGGGCTGAACTGACTCTTTCAAGACGTTTCGTACCTGCTTTCACGTAACCAACGACCCCTCCGGATGCGATAAGAGTGGCATATCCAAATCCCACCCAGTCCACGGACATGTTGGACACCTACGAGACACAGCCTGTCAGTGAACGCACCACCTGCAAATATGAATTACTAGCTTGAATCTACAAAAGCAGCTAACTCACAGAAATAAAGCCATTTAAAAGACCACGTGACGCCTGCGCAGAACTGTTAGAGAAAATTAACGGAACTAACAAAACATGTGGAAACATCGCGGCCACTTTTAAGAAACGTTGCGTTATCCGTGCACAGAAGGACGAGCGTGTGTTTGGCTTAAAAGATAAGGAGCCGTGGCTTTAACTGAATCGCAGCTACGAAACACACACGTAATAAATTACAAAAAAAATCAGAATTAACTAACAAATAAAAATGCAGTGACGTTCTGAAAGTCGGTTACTTTAAAATGGCAGAAGAGAGAAGCTTAAAAAGGCTTAAGAATGCGACATGTTACCTTCATCTCGTCCTCTGCTAACAACAAAAACAACCTGTTCTCCTCCGAGCACAAATTAAGGGTGCACCGTTTGTTTCAGCTAGCGAAGGGGCTGATGGGAAATGTAGGCTACAGTCGAAAGCGCCGAACATTAGCTGTAGTGGTCATACAGAGGCTTTCCTGCAATAAAACAAACAACTCACGGGTATAGAAACAGCTTGTAGTTGAATTTGAGCACTTTAATCAGACTCTAAGCACAGTAGACTTCATACATGGGCTATTTGCAAACTTTTTGTAGCACATTTAGCTGGTTTGAATAGATTTTGAAAGAATTTAAACACTTAATTGTCTTTTCTAACCAAATACATAACAGTTGCATTAAACGAACTATATCTATTTTGCTAAAATATCTTATTCAGACATGATGATGTTTTTTTTTTTCTTTTTTACCAGTAAAAGTTTTGCATTTTATGACCAGGAGAGGGCGCCAGAGGATCAGTCATCTGCGTTTTCGCGGAGCTGGTGAAATAAAATTGAACTTATAGAGTTCCCAAACAGTTTATGGATTTTAAATCGATCACGTTGAATGGCAATGAAGGCACAAATAAGCAAGCTCAGTATTGTACTGAATAGATGTGCAGATTTATTTTTGACATGTTTGGAAGTTAGGAGTTGAAAGTGGATTAAGAGCGTGAATTTTAGCCAAAAAACATGAGTCTTTTATACGCTCCTCTGATAATAAAATAAATAAAATAAATAAATAAAACTGAATTAAAAAGACAAAAGTTGTCAGTTTTACTGATCAAACGCTTCTCATTCGGTTTCAATTACCAAAATAATTACGTCATATATTTTATGAACACTAGGGGGCGACAAAGGACAATTTAAAGTCATCAGACAGCAGCTTTTCACCTGGATTTAAAAAAAAAAACACTTCTAGAAGACTGGAGCTGCTGACTGGACATACTGGTCAGCACGAGCCAGCTGTGGCGCGCACAAAGCCGGAAACACAATGCAAGAACTTTAAACCATGTTTCTGACCACAAAAAGTTCTCTCATTTGTTCGTCTCCAAACTGGACTAAACATGAACTAAACCACCAAATAAGGACTCCATCCATCCATCCATCTATCCGTAATAATAATAATAATAATAATAATAATAATAAGTTATATAGTTTTTCTGTATAGCCGGAGGCCTGATGCTGCAGAGACGTCAGGCCCTGTTCAGTCTGGACCCACTCAGAACCATGTAGACCCCTCCACTCCCACCCCCTCCTTTGTCCAGGTCTATTCAGCTGCAGGTGTTGTGTGCGGTAAAAGCGGGTCAAACATCTGGTTTTAAATATTAACGGCACGGAAATCTCTGGACTTTGAGTGGTACAGTGTAAAGAAAAAAGTGCTTTCCCTTAAAGAGTTTGCTCCGTGTGCAGAAACTGTAAGAACTCAGGACGTTTTTAAACCTCTTGATGAATTTAGGAGCAACATGGCGGCTCGGTCCTGCGTGGAAAATGGAAAACTAAATTTAATGCGTGTGTGTGCACGTGTGTGTGAGATCATTGGCTCATGGCCTGGGGGCTCCAGTAAGTATGTAGAAATAAACAATGGATAAATAAATAATGATTCCTAGTAACCTTCAAGTTGTTTTTTTTTTACTTATTTTATTTGCTGCGAAGATTCAAGTAGAGAATATTAAAAAAAAAGAAAATCACAGACATAAGCTCCTTTATTGCAAATATTATTTTAAAGCATTTTATATTATTTAAGAGCCTCATTAGTAGAAAGAAACGCAAACAAATGACCATTAACTCCGACTTTTTGAGCTAAATAAGCAACTTTAAACGATTAAACATATTTCATATTAAAGGTTCAATTTAAATATGTTGGCTTTAAAAAAAAAAAAAGCGAATTTGTGCATTTAGAATAAAGTTACTTTTTCCTTTTTCTCAGGTAAATCCAGAGTCTTTGTCCACGCCCGCTCTAGTGCGCATGCGCCTCCAGGTGTAGCCGCACGTCGTTTTTTTTTTTTTTTTTTTTTTTTTAAGACCAGGTGAGACGATCCAGTGTAAAAGTAAGTTTACTTTGTGGACCGGAGGCTTTAATGAGACAGAAGGAGTCGGACCCGCTGGGAATAAACGTCCTGGAGGCTGAAGAGGACACAGAATGTCCATGAAGATGGGGGAATGGCAGGTATGTGTTTACTGAAGAGAAGCCTCAGAAAGTGTTTGGTTGTGGGAGGATCTTCCTTTTAAGAGTCTCGTTCAAACTAAACACGCTTCCACTCTGAGTTTGATCACAAAGTCCGCGTTTGGAAAACGTAACGAGATCACGCACGTGTCAGATAACATGAATTCATTTACAGCTGTGATTTGTGCCAAAAGCAGAGCAAGTTTGCAAACGCGTCATTTATTTATTTTTTATTTGTGTGTGTGTAAAATATCACTTTTAAAAGTGTAAAAGCGTCACGTGTGTGAGGTTGCATGTGAACATGTTTGTCCCGAACTGTCAGCGCTTCGTGGAAAACTCGTTTTCGTTCTGATCTCAGCTGAAACAAAGCGCTCGAGTTTCACCTCCTCACATCCATTAATAACAAGCGCCTCGTGCACGCCACCAAAAATGGTAATCCACTTTTTAAAGCTAAAGAGGCCAACGCCTTAAAAAGAAGAAGAAGAAGAAGAAAGGAGCTGGCGACCTGTCTGCTGACCCCCCCGACCTGCCGGGGTGGAGGCTCAGGACACATCAGGCTCCTGCAGCTCATTCAAATGAAACAAGGCCGCGTTGTTGTGTTAATTATCGCACGCGCACGCACACGCACGCTGCTCCTGAAAGCCCGCCACCTTTTTACAGGTGGGCCTGCAAAGCCTCTCAGTGGGACAGAGACAACATTTGAAAAACACAAAACAAACACAATCTGGGCTCACAACAAATAACTTTATGATTTAAATGAATTGTTTAACACACACACACACACACACACACACACACACACGCACACACACACACACAGAACCCAAAGGATCAACATGTGTCTTCAGTTTCTCTTTTTTACCTGCGCGCTGTCCATTGCTGCATGTGTGTGTGTGTGTGCGTGTGTGTGTGAGCAGATTGGGGGGGGGGGGGGGATCATCCGGCTGTTGATATGCTAATGAGGCCCTGTGCCAGAGTTATTACAGAGCTGCTCCAGCCCTCCACTTCCACCATTAGAGGGAGACCTCAGAGCGCAAACCACAGCTTCAATAAAATAAAATAAAAAAAACGAGCTTTTTCTCTCTTTTCTTTTTTTCTTTTCTTTTTTTCTTTTCTTTTTTTCTCTCCTCCTCCTGATAAAAACTGTGAAAAGGCGATTTTTTTTTTTTGTACTCAAAAAAGGTACCTGAGCAACCCATGAGAATGCTTTGGAAATTAACAGATAACATTAAATATGAAGACTGCGAGGTAAGACTCTTTATTTAAAGTGATTTTTAGCTGTGACAAAATTATTTATTTAGTTTATAAAGCTGTGTTTTATTTGTTTGTTTTTTTCACCCAGATATATCACATTTTTTTTATTATTATTATTTTTATAAAATTCAACTAATTTAAATGGATCTATTATAAAATGTTAGATATATTTATATGTTTTTAACAAGGCAGCCTAAAAATACAGTTATTATTTTTAATTTCTCATTAAAATATAAAATAAATCCAAAAATTAAATAGCCAAACTCCATGCAGTTAATAAAAATAAAAAATAACATTTAGGCCCAAACAGTTGTTCGCTTCATTTATTTTGTAACTTTTTTTTTTTTTACGATTTGTTTGTCTATATTCGTTGCTTGTGAACAGCCGTGCGCGCGCTCGTGGAACGTACAGAGTGTTGTTTTGGACACAGAAAGTTTGGCAGGAACGTGGGTTACTTGTTTTAGGAGTGGAGGAGCCAGTAGGACGTGTTTTCGCGTGCCGCCCGCCTGAGCGCGCGCAGACCGACCGGGAGAAAAGAAGACCCAGATCCCGGCGCCTCCTCGTTTCTGTTGTTCTTCATTATTTTTTATTTTATTTTATTATTTCCCGCGCTGGTACTAGTGGAGAAAAAAAAATACAATCCTGAATTGAAGAGTGTTTCGTAATTCTAGAAAAAAAAAACGCGGCAGGAAGAGGAGCCGCGCGTAAAGTTGCTTTGGAGCGCCGGATCCCGCGGCCCTGCTGCCAGCTTGGCTTTTATTATTATTATTTTTTATTGTTCCCTCATCCTTCCGGGGGGGGGGGGGGTGTTCAAATTGAATGTAAGCCGGGGTGAATCTGTTGGAATGAGGGAAAGAGCCACGGAGGAGGTGGAAGACAAAGGGACGCACGGTGGAACGGCGCCGGTCGGAGCGTCACCCTCCTCAGACTCAGAGGTGCTCAGCATCCCTTCTCCTGGTTCCTCCTTCTCCTCCTTCTGTCTGCGGTCCTCCTCCCTTCATTTCTATTCTTTCTTTGCGCTTTGGCCCTGGGACTCTTTTAAAACGCCCCCCCCCTCCCTCCCTCTCCCCCCCGCCTCTGATTCGTCAGACCCGAGTGAATGTCCCTCTTTTTGTCTCCACTCCCTCTCCGCGAACACTCTCTCGCTCCCCCCTCCACCTCCACCTCGGATTAGATATACCCATTCCTCCTTTCAATGGACGTCATTTAAGCACAGACTCCTGCCTCGAGTTGCGTCCTCCGCTTCGCGCGCCTCGTCTCCTCCACTCCTCCTTCTTCTGCTGCTCCTCATTCTCGAGCTACCTCTGTGATCCAGCAGCCATGAGCGCGCTCTGTTAGAGGGGGAAGAACATGAGCTCGAGCCTGGGGAGGCTGTGAGAGAAGCGGGAGACCTGCAGCAGCAGCTCGGATCTTACAGCTCGGTTCTGATGGATTATCGTGAGGCGCACTGAGGGCCACCGACTCCCTGCAGGACACAAGTCTTTTTTTTTTGTCTGGGGGGGCCTTTATTGTTATTATTTTCTTTCTCTGCTCGCCCCCTCTTCTTCATCCTGCACTAGCTGCGTTCTCCAAGTGATTTTTGTTTCATTTCATTGAGGCGCCGACATTACATTTCAAAGATGTTAGTGCACAGTTTTTCCGCCATGGTAAGTTACTGGTGGAGCTTTTTTTTATTTATTTTTATTTATTATTATTAATTTATTATTTGTAGTCCCGTTTGTTTGGATGGTGCATGGAACTGTTAACAAAAAAAATCTAAAGACAAAAGCTTAATTATAAATTTGCGGAATTTAGATTTTTTTTTTTTTTTTTTGGTTAATTTATTTTACGCAGCGATTTTCAAATGCTTCATTTTGTTGCTTTTAAACAATCACTAATATCACACGTTTTTATTCTCGAGGCCTGACTCTCCCCCCGCAGATAAATGAAGTAGGATTTTAAAAACACACCTTTTCCCTCCTTTCCTGGCAGGACCGTCACGACGGGACCAGCAACGGGACAGCCAGGCTACCTCAGCTGGGCGGCGTGGGCCAGAGTCCCTACACGAGCGCGCCGCCGCTCTCCCACACGCCCAACTCGGACTTCCAGCCGCCCTACTTCCCCCCTCCCTACCAGCCCATCTACCCGCAGTCTCAGGACCCGTACTCGCACGTGAACGACCCGTACTCCCTGAACTCCCTGCACGCCCAGCAGCAGTCGCAGCACCCGGGCTGGCCCGGCCAGAGGCAGGCCCAGGAGGGCGGCCTGCTGCACCAGCACCGCACGCTGCCCCACCAGCTGTGCAGGGAGTACCGCAGGGAGGTTCTGCTCCCGTCCGGACACGGCCTGGACACGGGACTGTCGGACTCTATCTCCATCCATGGAATACCTCACTCTTTAGAAGACGTTCAGGTGAGACAGCTGCGCGGCTTCAAACCTTCCCACTTGCTCTTTAATCCACAAAAATCTCTTTAAATGACTAAATAATGTGACTTTTTTTAATTTTTTTATCTTGATAAATCATGTTGCTATTTTTAAATATTTCTACAAACTCAAGCACATCAATTCATTTTAATTTATACTTTATAAAAATGCAATAAACCCTATAGGAATCATTTAAATAACAAAAATATTTAATCTTCAACAAGAGGAAAAAACATCATTTAAATGTATTTAAACAAATATTTTATTTAGATTTTCTTTTGACATATTTAAAGGATTAATTCAATTTTTTTTTCCATCATAGGTGTTTTATTAGATTTATTCGTCAGGCAAAAGCTCCCCGCGCACTGACACGTTGCGCGCGCTAACGAGAGAATTGAGTTTGCTGTATTGAGTTTGGAGCTAAAAGATGCGTGATGAATGAGCTCCTGGATTGTCAATAAAGCCCCGCGCTGATTCACATGATTCTTTGCGGGTTTTTAATCAGAAAACAAAACACCAATAATTCCTCTAATTAGTTCACGGGCCTCTAATAGGCTGCGCCGCCGTAATTACTGCTCAGTCCAGATTGGAGCTTCCTTGTGACAGAGGAATTGGGTCAGGATTGTGGTGCCGGGTTTATTTAAGTCTGTCTTCGTTGCTGCTTGGATCTGTGGAGCCCAACAGAACCATGTCGGGCCTGCACGAGCCTGGCTTTTTGCGTCCTGAGATGCGTTCACGAACTCCAAAGTGACATTTCTGTGCTTTGCTTGCTAAAACTGTACCCCCTAATTTTTTTCCCACCCTTTTTTTTTTTTTTTATGCAATTGTGCCACAGCCTGTTGAGGATCAAGGAATCCACATTCCCGACCAGACTGTAATTAAAAAAGGTAAGCAATTTCCTCTGAGATATGCATTTTTTCTTTCTTTCAAACTACACACACACACACACATGCACACACTCATTCTGCTCCAGAGAACTCGGTGCAATGCCTGACTGATCCTAATACGCAACTAGCCTATTTTTCATTACATGCTTTCCAAGTGCATCAAACTGGCTGCAGCTTTTTTATTTTTTTTTTTCCTCCTCGCTGATGGAATTTACTGTCAGCGTTCGCGCGCAGCGGGGAGATGAGTGGAGCTGGTGGGCTTTGTGGACCCCTGCTATTGATGGTCAAAGATGCCGGCTGCAGAGGCAGAGACGACCCCTGGCACTTTAGCTGCAGTCACGCAGCAAATGGAAAATGGAAGCTGGGTGATAACATGCCATTTGGAGAGGAACGGTGCTTTTTGCAATTCATTTGATTATTTAAGGACATTGTTGATGATGCAACACAAGGTCTTTTATTGTCAGGTCGGATTAGGCTTAACATATCGAGCTTTCTTTGTTCCCCTTTTCTTTTTTTAGCCTTGTTTTATTTATTTATTATTAAATAGTTTTTTTTTATTTGAGTCGGCCTATCCGCGCATCAGCATGATAATTGCCTTCTTATATTAGTAATCTCAAGAGTTCGTTTAGCTCCTATTGTCTCTATTAGGCTCCCCTGAGCCATTAATGTCACAAGTGATCTATCCAAAAAGGCGCACGGTCCCCCACCCCACGCCAACCCCCCCTTTTGTCTCCGGTTACTGCTCAAACGACGCAGAAGCCTGCACCGAGCCCCGGGTGTGACATCACGCGCGGGCAGACGTGTTTTTTTGCAGGATACAGTGAAAATAGGGATTTTTTTTTTTTAAATTTATTTTGTTATTATTTAATTTATCCTCTCTCCAGTGCGGGGTGGCGCAGCGGGGCATAAAGATGCGCAGCTCGTTGCGCAATGTGCGCAGAATAATCAGGCCTCGTGCTTGTGCTGAATTATTAATTATGATTTTTGTTGCTGTAGGGCTCACATTATTGTTTCTCCTTCCTGTTATAGTTTTGGTGACGTTTTGAAACCGACACATCTGCAGTGCCAAACTAAACTGGTCCTTTTAAACCCCCCCACCCCCCCATTCAAGGTTCTGCATCGCATGAAATTCACTGCTTCCTCCCTCCCCGCAGGTCCGGTGTCTTTATCCAAGAACAACAGCGTCTCCGCCATCCCCGTCAACAAGGACGGGCTCTTCGGGGGGGTGGTGAACCCAAACGAGGTGTTCTGCTCGGTTCCGGGTCGCCTGTCCCTCCTCAGCTCCACGTCCAAGTACAAGGTGACGGTGGCGGAGGTGCAGAGACGCCTGTCGCCGCCCGAGTGCCTGAACGCGTCTCTGCTGGGCGGGGTGCTCAGGAGGTGAGCGTGCTCTAAAAATAAACAAATAAATAAATACAGCGTTCACCTGCGCGGGCGCGCGCTCCCTCCCTCCAGTCTTGTTCTCACCGGGAGCGCGCGTCCCTCTCTCTTTTCCCTCCTCTGTACCAAGAATAATTAAAATCGACCAACCATGACACCTAGCTCGTGCATTTAAAGCAGGCGGGGTCTGTTAAATTCCATATTAACTTCCCTCTCTGCCTCCCCCCCCCCCTTTTTTTTTCAAATGAAGTAGGCCTAGCTCGGTTCTGTAGGCCCAGTGAAGGCATTCCACACGAAAACATGGGTCTCCAGTGGACTGTAATGAGTGGGACTTCCATTTATTCAGAAGGACTGAGCTCCTTTTGCTGTGATTTATTTGGATCAGAGATAAGAACAAAGACTTGCAGCCTAAATATAAAACGTTCAATTAAAGGTACAAACTAACAATATGTATTAAAATAAAATATTTAATTCAGAATTTAAAGAGACTGAACATGAGATGAAAGAGCCTAATGGAAGGAGAAGTTGGGCAATTTTCATGTTTTATATGTTTAGATTAGTAAAGTGCTCTGTTTACATTCGATGCGTACCCATAATACAGAAATGCTCGTTTTAATATACCTGGAAATCTTTGTGCACCAAGATTAGTCCAGGATTTCGCTTGAGTTTCGTAGTTTGCGATTAATGAACATTTTTACGTGGCCTCTTCCTTCCCGACAGATTATTTTATAAGAGCACCTTCAGGCGTGACGGTTATTCAAATACAGACAAACCTCAAAGAACGAAGCAAAGTGTGCAAAAGTTGTGTTTCCTCATGTGATCTTAAATAGAAGAGGGAAAAAAAAGTGTGGAGAACCACATGAATTTGTTAACTTACACAAACTCGAAGGGACTGTGTAGATAAAAAAATAAATAAAAATAAACCTAAACAATGTTGTTTGTATACGCTTTAAATGAGCGCTAAGTTTGTTCCTGATGGTTTGTTTACACCGAGCGCAGACCTGCATTTCAGAGTTGCTCATCAATAAACGTGCACTTGATTTGGTTCAGAAAACCCTTTTAAAAAAAATGTTGACTCCGTAGTTTGCAACACCTTTTAACCATAATGTCCCTTTTTCTTGGTTGAAAATAATATGCACAAAAAAGTCTTTTTGTCCCACCACCACCACCATAAAAGCATCATTGAATTTCATGCTTTGTTGTTGTTGCAGGGCCAAGTCTAAGAACGGAGGCAGATCCTTGAGGGAGAAATTGGATAAAATCGGTTTGAATCTACCTGCGGGCAGACGCAAGGCAGCCAACGTCACCTTGCTGACGTCACTAGTCGAAGGTAAGTCCAGTGCACTCATTTTTATTTATTTATTAATTGGCTCCTCCTATACTTAAAAAAAAATATATTCTTCCCCTCACTTTTTCTCTGTGTTGGAAATCAGCATATGCGCTCATCCGTGTAATGTGGACCGACTTTGGCTCGCAAGTAATAAAGCATGAAGGATGTGTGCGCGCGCGCGGGCGTGTGTGTGTGTGTAGGAAGGGGGGGAGAGTGGTGCTGGTGATTCCAGTGGCTTTGCAGCGTTTTGGCCTCCGCGTGCAGGAGGACACTTGCAGGTTCCACGGCTGGCCTAGTTTTTCCGGCGGATGAATCTGTGTTGAAGTCCGGTTAATTACTGGGCGCTGCTTGTTTATTGGCTCCCGCCGCGCTCGTTCACCTCGTGGACGAGGACTCGATTGATTTATCAAGCCTGCATTGCTTCAAAGATTAATACAGTCTGGCTGCAGCAGGCTGTTCATTTTTTTATTGTATTTTTTTTAAGAAAATAGTGGTTTAATTCGTTCCTGCATGCTGTTTGGTTTTTCACTGAAGGTTTGTATTGCATGCAAATAGGGTTGCACGCGCTGACCTATAGGGAGCCGTACGTTTTGGGCCTATTAAAGAATAAATTAGGCAATTATTGTGAACAGAGGAAATGCCTTTTTGCGCGACTGGATAAATCCATTCGGCTCGCAGAGCTGAGCCTTATTATTCAGTGCGGTGGTATTTTGGTGTGCTGCTGGTTTCCAAAGGTGAAAGCCCGCGCGCGCTGCTTCATTGGTCCTTGTTAATCATTAATGCAGACCATGTTGGTCCAAACGCAACATTCGCTGTTTTTTTTTTTTTTTTTTCCTCCTTTCTTCTTTGTGGAATTTCGGCTCCTGTTTTGTTGAGAAACGTTTGATTGTGGGCAACGAGGGGGCGCGTGGGGAGGCGGTGCATGCGCATGAGGGTGCAGACGAAGGCATGCCACCTTTTCTTAAGCGTTCTGGTCCGCTCTGTTTTATGGAAAGCAGTTGACGAGAATATGGATGCTAATTGGCGCATGCGCACTTCCGGATCACGCAGAGAGGGGCTTCCTGCCCCGCACTACGGAGAAAAAACAAAAACAACTGCTTCAGGAAATTAAATCTAAAGGCTTGAAGAAAGGAAAGAGAGGCCCCCACATGACAAAACCTGAGATCCTGTCATAAAAAAAAAACACTTCCTCCTGCATTAATGATCAGCTGCTCTCTGCAAAATATTAAATTAATTATAAATAATGTTATCCTCAACTATAGAGTGTTTTCCGGCAGTTATTGATATGCAATTGTGAAATGCAGTCGATGTAAACAAAATGTTTACAGCTTGAGTCACGTGACCTGCATCAGGCTGCAGGTAAACAAACATAGCTGCTTAATTTGGCCCGTTTTCTGTCACTTTGGCTGTTTTTATAGGCGAAAGTTGGTATGGATAGAAAAAACATTTACCAGTAGTTCTTCTTTTTTATTTATTTATTTTACTGGTCTTAGTGACTTTGCACTGAGTACCTTCAAAGTCTGTTTGTCAGATCCACTTCTCACAGCAGGAAGTAAAGACATGACAGCCCCCACGCACGGTTTATTATCATTTCTGGGTCATTATTGCTCTTATCATCATCATGAGTGTTGTTGGGAACGCACAGGTGCCATAACCCCGCTGTCTGAGCGCATAAACAGAGCGGACTGCTCTGCTCGCTTCGCATTAATCACGTGCCCATCCAAGCAGGGAGTGTGAACTTCTCAGTATTTGATGTGAGCGCATTTAATAAGAAACCACATTCAACCTTATTGTTTTTTTTTTCTTCTTCCTCCCTCCTCCTTTCCCTGTGTCTCCCAGGCGAAGCCGTGCATCTTGCCAGGGATTTTGGTTATGTATGCGAGACCGAGTTTCCAGCCAAGGCAGTAGCTGAATATGTAAACCGTCAGCATTCCGACCCAAACGAACAAGTCCAAAGAAAAAACATGCTACTGGCCACGAAGTGAGTGTTAATATGGCGTCTATGTGCATGTGTCGCACCAAAAACACACGTCAGCATGTGCCAGTGTGGACGTGTGTGTTCATGCACACAAGCAACAAACTTTGACACAGTTTAGGAAGCTGCTAAAAGTAAATACATACATTTATATTTTGCATCCAAATAAATTCTGTAGTTTGTGATTATTGGCCTTATTTACCCCCATACATGCAGCCATTATTGTGCATTAAATCTCCACAAGGCAGAGAGTCTTTAATACTGATGATGATATAATGAAGAAGCTGGCAGCCATAAAAGCATCACAGCTCTTATACATGGTTCACAGACGGTTCTTTATTTGTCATACACATCACATGTGGTACATGTGGTGGAACAAAATTATGTACATGGTCCCAGTTACATCCAACAATAAAATGCAAAAGAAAAACAATAATAAGATCCAAGATATGAACTGAGAAAAACATTAACTCAAAATACACTAAGCACTAAAAACAATACGCCGAGCAGCAGCGCGAAGGGGAATAAAGGGGAAATTACATAATACACGTGGCAAAATGAGATTAAATAAAATAAAACGGCATAAGGATGCATTAAATTGAAATTAACAGTGTTTTAATTAAATTAAATTGCAGAAGAATCTGTGCAGGCATTTATTTTCTGTTGTGAAGAGACTAAAATGGACATTTAATCTTTTTTTTTTTTGTGCATTTGGATTGATTAAAATTTTTTTTGTTTAATGATTTGTTTTATTTTATTTAAAAAAAAAAGACGCAAATAAAAAAAATGTTTATTTGTGGAGGGATGCTGCAGACTTTAAACCCACACAAACGCCTTTTCTTTTATTTATTTATTTATTCTAAATTAATTGTATTTATTTATTTAATTACTTTTAGGCAAGTGTGCAAAGAGTTCACGGACCTGCTGTCCCAGGACCGCTCGCCCTTGGGGAACTCGCGGCCGCAGCCCATCCTGGAACCGGGCATCCAAAGCTGTTTGACCCACTTCAGCCTCATCTCGCACGGCTTCGGGACCCCGGCGCTGTGCGCGGCCGTCACGGCCCTCCAGAACTATCTGACGGAGGCCATCAAGGCCATGGACAAAATGTACCTCAACAACAACAGTCACTCAGACAGCGGCAGTAAAGGCGGAGACAAAGACGAGAAGCACAGAAAGTGATGACTCCCCCCTTCTCCCCCTGCGTCATCACCCCCTTTCACCTGCAGGGCCACGTTTTTTCAGCGCCCCTCTTCTCCTCCCCCAACCTCTCCTACTATAAATATTATAAATACCTTATAAATATTACTTTGGATTCGAGCGGAAACATAAAAAAAAAAGAAGCTGCAGAGGAGCAGGGTGAGGGAAAGGTGCACTGCCTCACCCAGAAGACTTTTTACTCCCCCATCTTCACCTCCACGTTGTTTTTTCTTTATCAGCTGCACCGAATGGACTGAAACTCCCTCTCTCTCTATAAATATTTCCGATTGTGACACAAGCAAAGCTAAAAGAGGATGAATTCTTATCAGTATTGTGAATAATAAACTTGGACAAAAAAAACAAACAAACAAAAAAAAAAAACAAGAAGCTCCACAGATCATCTGCTCTTTCTCCCCCCAACTTGAACTTTTTGTTTTTAATATGAAATTTCAACACGATTCGCGGTTATATAAGGGAATCAGTGTTCATTTATGTATATATTTATTTATGTGTAATTTAATGGGAATTGTAAATATGGTGCGTCTGTTGAAACTTCTCTTATGATTTTTTTTTTATTTATCTGGTGCCTCCTGTTTTAGTGGGTTTGACTCTTCGGTTAGTTCATGTGATTTTTATGGTTCTAGAAAACAAGTTCTTTAGGGGGTTCGTTTTTTAATTTGAATTTTTGATTTCTCTGGGATATAATTCAGCCCTCTTGTAGCATGTTTGAGGTGACACTGAAGCAAGTGAACAAATTTCATAGAAATAAAACTTCCATTTCCCCCCTCTCTCTCTATATATATATATATCATTCAGTTAAAAATTCAAATCAGACCCCGACTTTTTATTTTATTTTTATTTTTCGTCTTTTTTTGTTTTTATACAAGCTTTTATGTGTCGTGCCAATCAGAATCACCTCTTGTTCTCTCCCTGAAGCAGCATAAAAGCAATAAATGGAATATTGTCTTTTTTCCCCCCTTCAGTGTTCAATGACATTTTAAAAAAAATTAAAAAAAAAGGATATTTTTTTGGGGACCACCTGATATCTTGTCATGTCCGATAATGTCCAAAATTGGAGGCGGTTTTAGCTGTATTGTATAGACACGTGCTGGCAATAGTTCCTATGCCTGTCTATGTATTATAGTCCTTTGTTGCCCAGAAAAAAATAAATATTTGATACGCTTCATCATCTCGGTTTTACTTTTATTTTTTCAGCGGATCATATATATATATTTTTTATTTTGGGAACTTTTAAATCTCTACAGTAATTGAGTTTAAACCTCCCCCTGATGATTTCTTCCAGCAATAAACTGCTGAACTCTTTAAGTGCGATATATATATATTTAAAAAAAATGCATTTAAACGCGCAGGTTCAGAGCGCAGGATGTTTGCGGGCCAAACAATGGATATATGTGCGTTTGAAGAGCGCAGCACCCCCCCCCCCCCCTCCAGCTAAAAACCCTCTGAGATGTGCACAGGCCTGGTGTGCAGTGTTTAGCTGGCTATATTTGGCTCTCCTCCCCCCCTCCTCATTTTGAGCTTTATTCAAAGACATCAAATATTTGTTGCGTTGTTTTGCCTCTCAGTGTAATCAATGCGCAATCAGCGCGCAGTCTCGTGCTTCTTTCCCATCCCATAAAAGATGAACCCTCACAACCAATCTCCTCTTTTGTGTCTGAGGTTCTGTGGATGTGGCCAAACGGCTCCATTTTTTGTTTAATTTCCTGCGCACGGAGCTCTCCTTTTCTGGTTTTTTTGCGCAACATTCGGTGTGATTGCGCGCGGATGGAGCGGCATCCGCAGCTCTCTCCAATTTCAGTGATTTTCGGGGCCACATCTTAGTGCGCGCGCTTGTGTGTGAGTGAAGCCTAACTGTACATGTCCTTGGCGTAATTGTGACGCAGAGTGCTGGAGCAGGTGAAGCGCGCCATTGTCTGTCAGGGCCTGTTTTTTTTGGCTCAGTCCTCAGATTGTGTGTGGGATCCTGTCCTCGGGCGCAATAGCTCACTCATACAGGGAGGGGGGGAAGGGGGTGTTCCTGCTACGGTGCATGAGAAACGGCACAAATAGTCACTTTAAAGGGAAAACAATCGTATTAAAGCAGCATTCACTGAAGGGAAGCTCACGTGGGTCATTAATGCTAATGTAGCTTAATAAATTTATCGGGCTTTGGGTGAAAGGAAGCAGGTTTTTGAGGGTGAATATGTGTGAAAATTGTATTAGTATTAATAATATTATTCTAAGGTGCGTTTCTTTGTGTTTATTCAAAGTCTAATTTGATGCACACCACAGGTAGAAGTGAAGTGCCGCACAGCCAAAGGTATGTGCAGGAAGAGGCCGTCAGCTGCTGCGTGAGGATAATTCAATCCATAACTGCTGCTTGTCTCAACAAAACCGATTACAGCACATTTCCCCAGAATAGTGATGAGTAAATGTGAGGCCTGTTGGCATCAAATGTTCTAGAGAAGGGATGGAACCTCAAACAGGAGTTGGTCTGTGCGCATTTAAAGCGCAAACCAATGTCCAATAATGGCTGCACGCATGGATTTATTTCCAGCAGAAACCAACCGGTGTGCGCCACCACTGCGCAAATATTTACTCTTTTGTTTTCTTCTTTTTTTTTGTTGTTTTTATCTATACAAGCCTATTGATCACTGCGACTTTTCATCTCTGTGCGCATCCACTTTTACGCATCTTGCGGGGAGGGTTTTAATTGACTGTTGTTGTGGTTTTTGGTGGCCAGGAAGTGTTTGGTTGGGACTGCAGAGCGCACTGCTCGTTGAAGGCCACTGTCTGTGGCCTCATTAGCCAGCAGCATCACAACATGGCGCTTGGAGGCAAAGCTTTGGAGCTGCGAGTCAGGGCAGCAGCCTGCGCGCGCTCAGAAATCACATTGGTGGTGTTTTTTTTTTTTTTGTCATGCAACTTCTTTGAGTCTAAAGCTTCTAGTCAATAAGCAGGTTATGTTGTAATAAAGCAACAGTTAAACATTATAACTTTTTTTTAACAATTAAATATCAAAGTTTAGATGAACCGGTTATAATTTATTTCCTGCTTCCAGCAGCTTTACCTCGACGTTTTAAACACTTTGGTGGAGACTGGGGGGGGAAGGGGGGGGGGGGTTGTTGGGTGTATTTTGTGGTGTTTTTGTGCTGCGTTTTGGAGCAGCACGCACGGTTTCTCCTCCTTGGTGCAAAGTGTTTTGAAAAACCTGTTAAAGTTTTGGGAGAACTACATTTGATTAATAACACGTGGTTTGGAAGAAGATGCTCCACAGAATGTTTTATGAGTTTGCAGTGAAGGCTCAACTTTGACCCCCCCCCGACCCTTTCCTCTCTGGCCACTTTTGAGAGGTCACCAAACAGCCCGTGATTACTCGAGACATTTAGTTAATCGATCAGAAAACTAATAATTGGCTCTGAATAAACAACAGGAGCTCCTTGCACAAAAAAAGCAAAGGTGCGTCTTTAGGTCCATTTTGTGTTTGAGGATGAGTTATCATGAGGTCTGGGAGAAATGGGCTTGTGTGCACCCCCCCCACCACCACCACCACCACCCAAACATATGAATAATGAGCGGATTAAAGTTGTGTTAATGTTTCCTGATGCAGTTTGTGCAGTTTAGATTCTAGTTTTTAGTCATTCCCTCTCTCTTTATTCTCTGTGTCTCCCTGCATCCTCCGCACTCAGCCGGGGGGAGGGGGGGGGGGAGATGGGGGAGAGACAGTGTCGCCCCGGGCCAAACATATGCTTCTTTCCATCGCACTAATCCAAATGCAGCGTGGAGGAATAATTGCTCGAGTGGCCGTGGCTTCGCGGGGTCTTTGTCCCTCACTGGCTCCCGTCAGCCAGGCACACGCCGTTTCAGTCAAGTCTCTCTGCAGCGACCTCCACACCCTTGGATTATTGTTTTGGTTTTTGTTTTTAAAAGGCATCAGTGTTGTTGTTTGCTGCAGCCCTCATTAATACTGACTGATCATTGGACGGATTTATTGGCAAAATGGCCGCCTGAGCAGTGAATGGTCACTTTGTTTTGACTGGACATATTTTTAATTAATGATATAAACTTTAACTGAGAAGGCAGAAAATGAGCAGTTCAGGAAATCTTTTATATACTTATACAAATGCAAGCATCAAAACTATTATTATTATTATTATGTTGTTGGAAAATGAACTTTATTTTTCATAGTGACAGTGTATATATATATTAATGAAAATCACAGTAAATTTATCAGATTATTTAATTTTTGTATCTTAAACAGGAATTAAAAAGTCAACATAAAACAACAAGAAATTAAAACATATTTAAAAAATCAATTCAAGCCCTAAAAGTATTTTTGTGACAATCCACCACCTAATAAAGTCTTAGACTCATTGAAAAATACATTTAAATTGGAACACATGAAGGTTTTTCTCAATTTAAAAAATCTTATTTATGTATTTATTTTATTTAGTGATTTATTTCAGTGGGGGCAGTGCAGGATTTAACCACGGGGGCTATTTTCCATCTATAGTCCTGAGGCAGGTTGATGGTAAAAAAAAATAAAAATAAAATCAAGTAAAAAAAACACACAAACAAACCAAACAGCACAGTCAGATCATAAACGTAAACAAAAACATGAAGAAAATAAATAAAAGTGTAAAAGCAGATTATTAGTGATCAGCTCATAATGTCCTAAAGTTATAGTTCCAATATTTTATTAATTATTACAAGTGATTTAATGAGAAAACTATTTATATTTAATAATTAAAAATACATTTTTATTTAAGTTAAGAAAGTAAAAATCGAAAAAAGTGACTTTTGTTGTCTCCTCACCCCCCCACCCCACCCCAAACACACACACACACTCAGTTAAAATACCCCCTCCTGAGAACCACTAAATAAAAATCAGGTGGCTCAGATGTCAGGGTCTTGTGATCCCGAGGCTGCAGGTTCGAGTTTTCGTCAGGACGGGCGTGATAAAAACAAACAAACAAACAAACAAACAAACAAAAAGAACAACAAGAGTCTCAGAGAGTTCTCTGGCGTCTCCTGAAGAAGAGAGAAACCAAACCAAACAAAAATAGGCTGAAAAATCACTCCAGTAAAATGTGGTATTTGTTGAGAAATACAGGGAGACTGTGTGTGTGTGAGTGTGTGTGTGTGTGTGTGTGGGGGGGGGGGGTCAGACTGAATTAATAGACATGATAATTTCACACTATTTCATAGTGAGCTATCTGTTCCATCGCAGCAAAATAAAAGGGTCACCGCGCAGCTGTGGCGAACCCCAAGCGTTATTATGAAGTTTGATGACAGACCCCCCTCCTCCCTTTCTTTCTTTCTCCCCCACCCCTCCTCCCCCACCCTCCCCTTCTCCCTGGTACTTTGCTTCAGGCCAGCAATAGCTCGGGGCCACGCCGGTGCCTCCCCATGATAAAGGACTTATACTGTGTCTGTGCGCAAAGAAAGGCGCAGCAGCGCCTCTCTCTCTCCCCCGAACCTAATCAACTCACTGGCTTGGCCCTTTAATGATTGGTGCACACCCCCCCCCCCCCGCCTCACTCCAACCCCCGCCTTTCTTTCTCCCTTTCCCTCCTTTCTCCATTTCTTTTTTTTTTCTGCCTCTTTTCTTTCGTTAGTTACTGCTCATTTTGTTGCGCAATTTGGACATAACGCGTTTCCCTCCCAAAGGCAATAATAATAATAATAATAATAATAATAATAATCCATAAGTATTATGAAAAAATATCTGAAGAAATGTTTTATTTAAAAGCTCCAAAGTTAAAAGGAGTTTAATAATAATTTGTGTAAAATATCAAAATGTTTTCCCGCCAAGCTGAAGTTTTGGATCCTGCGCGTTCACGTCCTCATCATTTACACACTTTTCCAAATCAAGAAGTGAAGTTGTTGGATTTTTTTAACCTTTAACTGACAATTTATTCCCAAATTCACTTTATTGGCATCACTGTGAGTTTTCCTGAAATCTGTTCAGATCACTCTGCGTAAACAACCCCCCCCCCCCACCCCCACTTCACCCCCGGGGTGGCCTTTGAGACCGTTTCCTGTTCTTATTTGGTTTAAATTTGATAACAAGGTGCAGTTTAATATTCATTGTGAAAGTCAAGTAAAAAGAGAAAATTGGAAAATCTAAGAAGTATTTTTTTCCTGTGATTTTATTTTAAAGCTGCTTAAATTAAAACATTTA